GCGTTGAAAGAAATGTTTAATAAAGTAAACAAATAAATATTAAGCTTTTCTTTTTTTTTGTAAATTTTGATAACCTTTACATCATAATTGCTCTTTATTTCATAAATTATGATTTCATATTTTTAATTTTATAATTTCTGCATGACATCTTACCAGATTTAAACTGATGATCTATAATCTGGAAAAACCAATGATCCGGAATCCCCAAAGTCCCGATGAGTCTGGATTAAAGACTTTGGAATGTATATGTTAAATGGTGATGATTAGTCTATCAAATCTGATAGAATTGCAGAGTGTGTTCAAAATGTTCATCTGAAATTAATGTCCACATTGAATTGGTCTGTTTGCATAGTTTTGTGGGAGAACTAATTGCAAATGTACTTGCTTTCAAAACGACATATCATGAGCAACGAATATTGGTAAAGCAATAAACATGGAGTGGTCAATGCTTTATATGTATGTTGTTAAGTTTACTTTTAGATAGATTTAGCGTATGAAAATTTCATTTAAATGCATTTTCTATATGTTACCTTTAGTTCTGTACAATCTTGCTGCTAGTTTCTAGGTAAATTCTGGAAAAAAAAATGGCTGCCAGAGCCACATATTTTTGCTGTGTACACATATTTTTGCTGTGTCCAATCCTTCTTTTATCACTTTCCATATTTCCATAGATGGATCAAAATCCAACTTCACCGGAGCTGGAGCTATTATAAGAACCAAGGGATCTGGAGAAGATTTCATTAGATTTCATTTATACCTTGGTAAACTAACAACTGTATTCCAAGCCAAGATTCTAGCGATCAATATGGTCGCCAGGGAGCTCTTAGCTAAAAATACCGTTGATAAAAATGTATATATTCTCTCTGACAGCCAATCAGCCATCCTTGCCCTGGCTAATCGTGTCAAGTTACAAAACTGTGTTTCGAACTGTACTCGAGATCTCAATTCTCTGGCTCAGAACCATAATAACATTAGTTTAGTTTGAGTCGCAAGTTGTGATTTTGCTGGAAATGAACTAGCCGATAAAGTAGCTAAAGCTGCTTTGCAACTACCCATGTCTGGCCCAGAACCGTTTTACCCAGTTTCATAGCAAACTGTTAAAAAAGAAGTATAAAAGCTGGATAAAGAACAAACATGATGATATATGGTCTAAACTACCAGACTGTACTCAGTCTAAATTGGTGCTCAGTACACTTATCAGGTAAACTCATACACCTCAGTAGAACTAATTTATACCAGGTAATTCAGATTGTTACCGGACATGCTTATGTGGCCAAGCATCTCAACAAATGTGGTCTTGTTGAATCTCCTCTCTGCCCAGCTTGTGGAGAAGAAGAGGAAACACCTTTTCACTTCCTGGGACGATGTGTGGTGTTTTCTGTCCCTAGAAACAAATTCCTTGGGTTTCTCTATATAAGCTTTGATCAGGCCCTTCTATACAAAGGGCTCTCTGGCATAATAGTGTTCTTGATATATACTAAACACCTACAGGTAAGGTGAATTTGAAACCACAGGAAACAAGCATTGAGATGCCCTGTGAGTTCTTTTTTTTTTTTTTTTTTTTTTTTCCCAAAAGAAACTATGCAGGGATTTTCCTCTCGTAGTTGTGCTTTGGAATATAATTTGGAAATATATATCAAATCCTTATACACCAGGGGGCCATTTGGCTTAAGAAAGTACCTCTGCCTTCCTTATTTAATTTTTTTTTTTTTGACTCACCATTGCACCCCCTTGTTTGGTCAAGAGTTTGCGTTTGGTGATTTGGGAGGGATTGCATTGGCTCTTCATCCAGTTAGGAAGTTTTAACGATTTAACCGACACCCTGAATTTAGAGATGGGATCTTTTGCTGATACTATATATTTGGTGTCAGTTTGGGATTTTGTCTACTTGTTTATTATTTACCTTTCATAGGAATTACCATTTAAAATCTTTGTCTTAAATGATCAAATGGCTGAAGAGCAATGGGCAACATTGCCTAAGCTCGTTTCCTTCTTTTCATAAGAAGGAAGTGCCACTAATGTTATGTTATGTTTAAATTTCCGTATTCAGGAAAGCCTTGACTTCAGTTTTTTATGGGGAGCAAGTGTTATTAGCAGAGAAGGGATATATTCACATGATAAATAAGACTGTTTGTGACATAGATGAGAATAATAATCTATTTTCTAAAGAGTTAGAGAGGAGTATTTCTAGTGCTTCTGGTCTGGGCATTTTGTCAGGTATTGAGCTCACTGAGTGCCTGCTTCATTTCCTGTGAAAGGTTTTGTTACTTCTTCTTGTACATAGTCTTTCTTGTACTTTTTTATTAATTTTAAAGTTTACTAATGTATTTTGCCAGTTAAAACTATGGAATAATTTGAATAACACTTTCAAAAATTATTTCTCAAAATAAACAGTTTTTTTTTTTATTATTTTTTTTTTTTTAGTATAAATAGTTAAAATTTTCAAGAAAGGTAAAGGAAAAAGATTATTAAATGCTAATTTTAACGTATATAATAGCTTAATAGTCTAAATTAGTACAGTGGAACCTCGAGATACGAGTATAATTTGTTCCAGAATTGAGCTAATATAGCGAATTTCTCATATCTAGAAACAAAATTCCTCATTGAAAATAATGACAATCCAATTAATCCGTTCCTCACCCTGAAAAATATCAACATAAAAATATTTTTTTCTAATAAATAATACTGGTAAATAATATAACTGCAGTTTACCTTTATGATAGCTTCTGACACCGACCTTTTAACTGGTTCTCTTTAATCCACACCAACAAGAGCTTCTTTGGACTGTGCTTGAAAGTAACGGTAACTCCTTTGGCTACATCGAGTTTCTTAATTTCTTCCTTCTTCTTCAGAATAGTACAGATCATCTGTGCCAAAAGCTCGCCAAATTCTGTCACTCTTTATGATTTCTTTCTTAATTTCAATGTGTATGGCTTCCTTATTTTTCTTTGCAGCACTATCTGAGGCAACATTTGTCTTGGGAGGCATTGTGAAATAATTATTTTCATGTTAAATGTTAAACAATTCACAGGTGCACAAAGACGTAGATCAAAGAACACTGAGTGACCTGATGAGTTCCCGAGTCGAGCTGGATTGGGAAATGGCACCATGCATACCAACAGACTGGCTTATTCTTGTTACTCAAGTCAGTGCTCGTATTTAGAGACACATTTTTCGCTCATATTTTTGTCGTACCTTGAATCTCTCTTATAAAAAGAGGTGCTTGTATCTCAAGGTTCCATTCTACCAAAAATTATGACCTTCAGATACTTCTTGTTTTCCCCAAAGTTAGCCTTAGCGACACGAAACTCATCTCATGGGGCAATTCCTTCTGACTCCCATCTGTCCCAAGGAACCATGTTAAACAAAGGCATGCTGTCTCAAAAGGGTTAAAGAACAAGTTACTCTAAATTTTAAAATGGATATGTCCAGTAATGGTTATTTTCGTCTAAAATGACAAATCCTTGGATGCCTGTGAAGGTCACACCAACTGCTGAACTTTATGCCAGTCTAATTCAAGAACCAACTCATTACAGTGAAGCAAACACAAATCGACATTCAGTTTACAATTTTGCTGAGTTACTCAAAATTCATCTTGTCTAATTATTTATAGGTGATTTTAAGTTTAAGGAGTAGCAGTGACAACAGTTTTTGCATCACTCAGATCACCATCATATTTTTTCTACCTTCGTCTAATGACTGAGACGATTTTATAAAAAGCTATTTGTATTTTTTTTCTACTAACAATTATTTTTCATATGTATTTACTCTTACCTGCTGAGAATTTTATGTCCCAACCGTTTCAAAATTTGGAAATGAGCACATCTTCATAACAGTAAAATATTGATAATCAAATATCATTTGGACACTTTTTATTAGAGAACACTTTTAGTAAAACGGAAATATTTTGCTTAGAGTAAAAAATGCATCATACGATTTCATGTACCTTCAGTACTTTATTTTTCAATACCAAAAAGCGATTTAATCTCTTACGATATTATTTGTGAATGATTTTCATATCATGCCAAGAAAAATTTCTTAGTAGTTCTTTTTAGACGATAAATCAGAAAAGTAAAATGAATTTTTCTTTAAGGAAATGCACCTTTTCCTAGTATTTCAATGTATAAGATGTCCAAACTTCACATTCACACAACTAAATGAATTTCGATACAAACATATAAGTGATGCATTAGTTTAAAATGGAATTACACAATTTGAACTCTTTCAAAAATCTCATTTTCATTTCAAAACAGTTATTGAAAACATATATTTAGAAGTAACTGTTTTTGTGAACTGTTATAGTAGTTAAAAAAATACAGTATTTAAATCAATGTGTTGTAGCTAAAAATAATCTAAAATTTCTGTGTTTCTGCGAATATTGTAAAATACCTGTTTAAGTATTTATTCCATGCTAAAAGAAATTATTTGTAAATTAAGTGATGCTAAATTCTTTAAAAGTTATATTTGGGTTCTATGTAAATTACATTTACTTTTGGAAAATATATATATATTGCAAATTTTTCACATACACAAAGCTTTTGGTTGAAGGCTTTTCAGTATTTTCCAATTTTGGCATGAAAATCACCCTCAGGTCAGGAGATGGTACTGCTGGATTTGAGGTGTTTATTTATGAACCCTCACATTGTAACAGCTTTCTCTAATGATTGCTGTTTCCCCACTACCAATTAAGTGCAACAGGAGGTCGGGGGAAATACATTATGGAATATTCTGTCCTCAACTATTTCAAGGTGGAAAAAGTCATTTGAAACAATTTCAGATCTATCAAGAGCTGACAGAATATTCCATTTGTAAGGATTTGGAAAGCCATCTTTCAATGCGAAATAATCCGTCGATAACGCTGAGAGGGTTAAAGATAAAAAGTTTATAAAAAGTTTTCCTCTGTAAATGTAAAATTTCGTTTAAATTATTTAATATTAATGATTTGAAAAATTTTATAATGCCCTTTTTTTTTTTTTTTTTTGTGTGTGTGTGTGTTCTAGTATCTTTCCCCCTTGCCACAACCTTAGTTGAGAAGTGTCCTGTTAAATCTCCTACATTCCAGTATGATTCTAATATTGTCAAGAAAGAAGAGCTACTAAAAGCCAGTCATAAAAGGTCATTTTCATTTTATACTTCTGAAGTTTCTTCTTATAACTTATATGCCTTAGTCTCTGATGTTTAAGCCTACATAGTTCAAAAAAATATTAAAACAAATTTTTAATAACTATGATAAATCCTTTTGAAACATAAATTCCTCTTTCACTTGGTTTCTTTAAAAATGCCTGACTTTGTTGATTGTCTGGATAAGTTCGTGTCATATTTTCAAAAAATAAGTTATTTAACTCCCTGAGTGGCATGACCTCCTTTACTCATTCATGAACTTATTTTTCTTTCATTTCGTATATGCTACCACATTATTTAAAACATTTTGTTTCCTTAGTTTCTTTAATGATCTAAATAGTATCTGAATGAATAAGAATTTATAAAGGAAGAAACTAAAATAATTAATTTCACAAATTTACCAAATGCTATTCAAGTTTTATTCCATTAATTCTGCTAAATGCTATTCAATATTTTATTTCATTAGCAGATCCAAAAAGGAATGCCACTCAGAGTTTTAAAGAATCCATTCTAATAAATCTGCGAACATCATCATAATAATCAAAATCGTAAAAACAATCTCGTATTTAGCGTAGGTATAATGAAACACTCATTCGATTTCGAGGGCAGCTAAAGGTCCCTCCTCATCAGGAGAAAGAAATACTTAGAAAGAAGAAAATAAAGGAGTCACAGAAACACGTGGTCCTTATCAGCACTGCACGTGGTTATAACTATTTTTTAATCAGAGTTTGCACTGGCCGCCTACTTTTACTGAGCCAGGCTATCTGATCAAGCATAAAGGACAAGAAAAAAGTAGCGAAGTTAAAATAAAGAGCGAGGGTATTTTAACTTCGCTACTTTTTTCTTGTCCTTTATGCTTGATCAGATAGCCTGGCTCAGTAAAAGTAGGCGGCCAGTGCAACTCTGATTAAAAATCTAGTTATAAGCACGTGCAGTGCTGATAAGGACCACGTGTTTCTGTGACTCCTTTATATTCTTCTTTCTAAGTATTTCTTTCTCCTGATGAGGAGGGACCTTTAGCTGCCCTCGAAATCGATTGAGTGTTTCATTATACCTACGCTAAGTACGAGGTTGTTTTTACGATTTTGATTGTCACATTAGCGTGTTTCTCTTCTAGTCTAATCATCATAATAGTATGAGAGCTAAAAGAGAAATTTCGAAATGATCTAGGCGTTTATCATTACTTATTTCATATCAGCTTTCGTGGCTGAGAATCCTTTCGGCATCTGATATATGCATACTACAATATTTATTTCTATAAAAAAATTTTAAAAGATTGATATTTCTTTCTTCTTTTTCCGTTTCTGAAATAGTTACTACTATTTTACAAGGATAAATGTTATTTTTCTAATTTTATGAATATTTTTGCTAAATTATAATTTGACATATAATAAAAATAATATGAGTTTCTCATGGTTATTATGAATCATGTTCTTTTAAAACATGAAGTATGGAAAATCTTCAGCGGTACTGTTATTGTGACTTTATTGGAATTCAAAAAATTTCTTCTTTGCTGGCCTTGTGTCAACATTTTTACATTTTACATTTCAGTAATTTCAATGTAAAATTTTGATTCCTCTTGGATTTTCTAATAATGATCGATGGCTTTTCTTTCAATATCACCTATGGTTTATTATCCATGATTTCCATATTTTGTAGAAAAAAAATGTAATTATAAAACTTAAGCTAGTTTTATTTAGTAACTGTGTTCTGTAGTCGAAAGGTGTAAGTATCTCTCCAAAATATAAGAATAGCATAATGAAGGTAAAATTTTTATGTGTGCATTTTCTGAGAACGGTCAGCACAAGAGGACACAGCTCTCTAAAATTATAGACATTTAATTTTTTTGTCTTCATGCTAGCTCTTTTTGTTAAGAATGAAAATAATTATTTCCGTAATTAGACACAGTGACAGAAAAAGAAACACCACCACAAAAGAAGTGAAGCTGTATTTTTCTACATGATTTATTGAACTCGTATAAATGAGGTTGCAACTGATACTGTCTGCATTCAGCATTATGAATTTTCTTTACATCAATAATTGCTGTAATCTCCATTATGTAAATGCAGTCAGGTACCTTGGCAGTTAGGTTGACAACTTTTGTTTCTGGCTGTGAGCGAACAGAGAACTGATATTGGATACGTATATCAGATATGTGCTTGATACTGAGAGATGTGTTATCTTGCTGGCCATGGAAGCATGTAAACATTGCATATTGAATTGCAACTGTGGTATGGGCATTATCTTGTTGAAATGAGTCCACCTAAATACAGTTTTTAAATAATGGCATGATGGACTCAATCGTCATTGTGATATAAACATTTGTTGGTATGTCAGCTATGGATCTAACTTGGTAGTAGGTGTTCACCAACCTCTTACTCACTGTGTGAGTGCACCATTGGAATGCAGATCAAAATGCTTTCTTTTGAACACCACAGATTTTTGCCGTGTCTTTCAAATATTGAACTGTAACTGAATGGTAATGAAGATGCATGTAACAGTGATTTGGAATTTGATGGCAAATGCAGCATAGAATGCCTGTATCCATATTACTGTCAAGTAAATGATTTAGAATATTGTTGCTAAGTAAATGTGCTGTCAAGTAAATGATTTAGTTGTTTATGTATGAAACAGCATTGCAATCAGTCTTCCTGAAGTTGATATTTCATCAGTTATTTAATTTGATAGTGCCATCCCATAAATTGCCAGTTTATCCTCTTTTTGGCAGACTAGGCATGCTTTGATCCCAGTCCTCTTATAGCAGTGTCCTGCAAGAACCTCAGCTGTCAACAATTACATTCTGTCATCCTATTTGTTCAGCATTCTCATATTAAGAAAATCAATCAGCTTTTATGGCTTCATTCATCATCAGTTAAATTACCATACTGACACCTCTGCACATTCTCCACTCTCAACACAAGCAACTGATTCCCCCCCCAAAATGAGTCATGAAATACTCCTGGTATATTTAACCCAGGTTTGATCATGCTGGGTATGTCATACCTACCCCTTCTGTTTTTTCATTGTTTCTCTCCAGCCTTTCTTTTAAAATGAATGATTCTTCTTATAGCTGCCTCCAAGGTCCATAACCTTGGAAGTGAAGAATAGGGGAAAGAATTCTAAAAATAGATATCTTGAAATAGCCACTCCAGGGTATGTTACATCGAGCGTGAGCATTTCTGTTACAATTCTGAGTACGGGTAGAAGCACTGAAATCGTTCTATTATTATGGCGTGTTTTCGAAGTTATGATAAAGAAATGTGTCTATTTTATAGGAAAGCATAATATAACAAAATGGAGTAAAATGAAATTCCGTGGACATGTTAGAATTTCTGCTAAAAATATCATTTCAAAACTCTCTGGAAATGCATGCATTTAAAAAAATGTTGCTTCTCCTCTAGAAGCTTAGAACTTTTATCGTCTGATTTCATAAAGAAACTAGTGCAATGTACTAATATTTTTATTGGCTTGATTAAAGAGCACTTTTCTGGAGAAGGAGATGCAAGAGAGACTAATGAGGCTCACATTAAAGCATTTATTTGATTGCTGTATCATTATTATTTGCATAAATCATCCCATATATATATATATATGAGATTTTTGGGGAACAGACGGCACTGGAGTTGAAATATTCCGTACAACTGTGTCATTAACACGTTTTTATTTTTTGATAATGCACAAACCCGCCAGAGCAGGAAAGAATTCGAAAAACTAGCTCCAATACTGATTTTTTTTAAGTGTTTGTAGAAACACTTCAAGAAAATCGTACAACGTGGGAGAATACGTCACAATAGATGAAAAACTGGAACCTTTCAACAAAGGTCTATGCCCATTTCGTCAATATATGCCAAAAACACCATCCAAATACGCAATCAAAATTTTTGCGCTGGTCGATTCCAGCGTTTTCTACACTTGGAAATCAGAAATTTATGTGGGTCTGCAGCCAAAAGATCCATTTCAAGTGGATAACTCTCTTAATAGTGTGGTAAAAAGACTAATTGAACCTCTTTACAACTCAGGAATTCAACACTAGACAGCTGGTATATATCTTATCCACTTTCTCAAGAACTTTTGAAAAAAAAAAAGGTGTTGTAACTTTGAGAGAAAATTTTAAAAAAAAAATTCCTCCAATATTTTTTAACACAAATAAGAGAGAAGTTTACTCTTCCCTTTTTAGGTTTTAGAAAGAAACAGCTATTGTTTCTTATACACCCCAAAACAAATAGAAATATGCTTCTCATGTCTACAATGCACACTGATGATGCAATTAATTGTGAAAGTGGAGAAGCAGTGAAACCAGAAATAATAACTTTTTATAGCCATACAAAAGGTGTCGATGATAAAATGGCTGCAGCGTATTCAACGGCTAAAAAAAAAATTCGTTAGCCTATGGCTATTTTTTATTCCATGTTGAACGTCGCTGCAATAAATGGGCAGGTAATTTTATTATCAACAAAGAAACCACCTGCTGGGCATCAAACCCGAAGTTCATTTTTTAAAACACTAGCATTTCAACTAATAGAAGATTATAAGAAGATAAGAAGTGAACAAGCACCCACAAAGCCTAAAATAAATACTGGGAAACAATGAGGCCGATACACCTCCTGCTAAGAAGGTAAAGGTGACATATAAAAGATGTGCTGAATGTGGGGCCAAAAAAAGAAAGTAAGTTAAGTTTGTCTGTGAAAATCATGTATGCATGGAACATATGGCATGCATTTGCGGAAATGTGCAAATTAAAGGTAAAATGTTTAGAACTATGTTTTCTCTTCTCTGTTTTTGTTCTTTAATATTTTGTGCAGATTTAATGGTAAAAGAGAGGAAGAAACCATACTGGGTATGATATACCCAGCACAAGCAATCCCGTTCGTGTTTCTCGCACAAGTAATGCCGGGTTAAATGTAGCCTGGTATTCATATTCATTATTAGGCTTGTACTGCCACCCTGCCACTGAAGTTTGCAACTTTCTGCTGAGCTTTTATTTTCCAATTGTG